GTCAGGAAGTCGTCGGAACAACGGTCAGTCAGGAAGTCGTCGGAACAACGGTCAGTCAGGAAGTCGTCGGAACATACGTCAATGAAGAAGTCGTCGAAACAACAGTCGAGGAAGTCATCGAAACTTACAATTTGGAAAACAACTTTGACCTTGTAGATTTTCTAGATAATTCTGATGTCGACCCAGACTGGACCCCGCCCATAAACTTAGACTGTCACGAGAATTCAGCCGATCTTGATGATTCCGATTCCAGTGAGGAACAGCCAGTAAACAATAATGCACGAACTGAAGCAAACGAGGAAAACTCAGAGAACACAAGTCCCGGACCGTCTAACAGATAAAAAGCCAAAAGAGGAATGGCCGACCCCAACACATGGCAACGCAATATTAAAAAGGATTCCAGAATGAAAGGCCAGTCTTATAAAAGTGTTAAAAAAACAAACGATGGGACACGAACTGAATTAACAAAAGAGCCCAGGAAAATAGGACCACGTTGCTGTTCCAAACTCTGTAACAAAAGTAAGCTACGCCATTGTAGAATCTTTACAGACGAGGACCGGCAGACCATCTTTTCCGGATTCTGGGAAATGGACTGGTCCCAGAAGAAAATCTACGTTTCCACAATGGTGGATTGTGAGGAAAAACAGAATGAAACACATAAATCTAGGAAGAATATGAGCTATTCTTATCACCTCAAAAAGAGCGAGGGTCGGTATCGGGTTTGTAAAAACATGTTTCTGTCAACACTTGGACTTGGGGAGTGGACAGTTCATAATTGGATTAATCAATCGCTAGATGAAAACCCTGACAGAGCGGCTGGTATGCATGCCTCTCCCTCCACCTACAGTGCCCCTGGACGACAGAAGATTGACAACGTCCGAAAAAGGGAGTTTGCACATGAATTTCTAGACTCCTTACCAAAACTTCCATCACATTATTGTAGGGCCAGTACATCAAAGTTGTATCTAGAGCCTTGCATCAGATCAGTGAAACAACTTTATGACTTATACACTGAACAATGTGAAGAAAAAAACGAAGAGTCGTTATCAATCACAGTATTCACTAGTGTCATCAGTGAAAAAAAAATGTTTGTTTCATCCCAAAAAGGATCAGTGTGATACATACTGTGCGTTTGAAGCTGGTAATTTGGAAGAGTCGGAATATAATAAACATATTGAGAAGAAAACCAGTGCGAGAAACGAAAAACAGAAGGATAAAGAGTCTGCAAATGCCGGACATGGTAAGGTCATAACGTTAGATTTACAGGCTGTGTTGTTATCACCGAGTCTAAAAGCGAGTGCCATGTACTACAAGACCAAACTAGCATGTCATAACTTTACTATGTATGACTTGACAACGCACAATGTTGTGTGTTATTTCTGGCATGAGGGAGAAGGGGAACTCGGAGCAAACAGTTTTGCTTCATGTGTGTGTGACTACATCCTAAACGAATTGGGTGACACTGACCATGTCACAATCTACAGTGACGGTTGTACATACCAAAATAGGAATGTCACCTTGGCCAATGCATTACTTCACTTGTCGGTGACCAGCAATAAAACCATACTACAAAAGATTCTGGAGAAAGGACACACACAGATGGAGTGTGACAGCATACACAGCACTATTGAACGCAGTCTCCGTGACAAGGCAATTTACATTCCGTCCAATTATGTAGAAGCTATAGAGTCTGCTCGTCAAGTGAATCCTTACAAGGTTAAATATCTGGATCACTCGTTTTTTGTCAACTACTCAGAAGTTCAGTATTATTCGTCAATCCGTCCAGGTGTAAGAGTTGGAGATCCCTGCGTCACCCACATCCGAGTACTCAAGTACACTCCGGACGGGAAAATTGAATACAAGTTGATGTATGACGAAGAGTTCCAGGAACTACCACGACGTTCACGAAGGCAGGAGCCACGGGTGGTGACATCACAGCTGTACAGTTGCCCAGTCAACATTAAAAAGAGCAAGTATAAACATCTACAAGAACTCAAAAAGGTCATGCCCAAGGACTACCATGGATTCTATGATGCGTTGCCTCACTCAGATTAGTATTTCGCAATTCTGCTGAGTTGAACTGAATTAAATTGATAAACACTGCTAATAGGCAACAGCTTGTACGCAATGACAACATAAGGGATAGACTTATGGGGATTATCTAAATCTAAAGTGTTTTGAATGAGGACATCTGAGGTGTTATGTTTAAAATTAACTGATTTTTTCAGAGTTGATATTTTCATGAGTTAACCGATTCTTTCAGAGTTGATAGTTTCATTAGTTTCTAATGTTTGTTGTTGCCTTACATGGTCTAGGTGAACATGTTCCAAATTTTAAAATGACTATATAATTAGCGAAATATTTGTTCCATTGCATATTGTAATTTGATTTTTGACGTCCTATTTATCCTAATTTGAATACATGTACATGTTGTAGTGTACAAATAGGTTTTATTTTTTATTATGCAAGTAGCTCAAATGTAATTGATTATTCTAGTCATATTTTTTAAATACCTTTTTAAACTGTGAATTGATTTCTAGTAACTATTTCTTTTACAATGTACTGTGCATTACGATTACCATTTATTAGAGCCATGCATTATATTTACTGTATTTAAATCATTTTTGAATTGAGTTTCCTTATTCATGTCGTGCCAATTGTACAGTAGCAACTTCTGCAGGTATTTTTTGGGTGTTTGATTTGCAAATTACAAAATTGTTATTGTCTACTTGGTTCATAATGATTTGTTAATGTTTTATTATAATGATAATTGTATTATTGGATATTTCAATATCTTCTTGCAGAAGTAGTAATTTCAGCAAGTAGTTTTTTAGTTTTTGATTTGCAAATTACGAAAAGTAATTATTGTCTACACTTATAGTTCGTATTTGTTCACATTTTTATTTACAATGACAGTTAATGTTTTCGTATTTAGTTGCAAATAATCCCTCCAAATTTTGGCCTTTTCGTTTTGCTTATCTATAGTAATTGTCAGTTTTCTAGTTGTTTCGTGCAAAGCCCACACCCCAAAATTATAAAAACAAAACGCAAGCAATATACATGTACAAGTATAATCATTTTATTTTATTGATAAAGTCAATTATTGAAGTGGGGGGATTATCTGCGGATAAGTACAGCAATGTTTTATCGCATTCCAGTTGACTGTTAAGAATCTAGTCTGACCATTCATGAAATGTTTTAATATTTTTTGTTATTAAAAGTTAATTTCAAAACAAATGTCTTGTGATTTTTAAAGCAATTTCAGTGACAAAAACATTTTGACTAATTATGTATAATAATATCCAATACTTCTGGTACCAATTAAAACTTCCCTAATTCATTATTGGAATTTTGAAAGAAAACAGAAACCTCTTATCTTTTGAAAAATGTAGACATTTTAGATGCAAAAACTCGTAACTCGTAAAAGTAGGTCAAGTGAACAAAAAAGTTCAAATGTTTTTTTATCCATTTACTTGCAATGTTTATTGCTAGCAATTTGCAAAAAATTACATTCCTGTCTCAATTAGTTAAAAACAGAGATAATTTTTTGTCTCTCCTGAAAAGTTGCAAAAAACGAGATACGAGGTCTTGACTCTTGGCCGACGATACGTCCCTGGTCCGTGGTAAGAATAATTACCAAAACAAGACTTTCCTGATTTGGATATCATTTTCAAAAGTCTATATAATTTTATCGAAACGAATGCTAGTTTGAAGAAGAAATTTAATCAGAACCCTCGTTGACTCTAAAATATTTCAACTAGCATATTTTCTGCCAATATTGGTTTAAGCCCAAATATTCGCCAAAATACCGAAATTGTCCCGTTCACGGTACAGTAACGCCGGTTCACGGGCATGCGTAACTCTGATGGTGTTATCGATACCATTAATACCATTAATAGCCCCGTTTCCTCGTGGTTTGTGCCGGTGTACCTTTCAGATTCTTCAAATCAGCGGAAACATATCTATTGAGCCATACTAAGTTTAGATGTCATCATGTAAATGAAAATGGCTAAAGTGATATTATAGTTATATTTTCAGTTCGCCTTTTCGGAGAAATTGTGGGAGTGGGGGCGGGTTAGTGGGGTTGGGGGTTATATCTATCCATTTTATTTTAAATGCGGTTTTTAATTTTGAGCACGCAGAATCTCTCCCATGAAAATTGTAAAAAAGGTTGACAAGTATGCACAATCACGCACTTAGATAATCTAATCTTATTCCGTGGCACAATATATAATTATCGTTATCAGGTATAATGACATAAAAAAAATCCATAATAAATGAGTTCAGTAAAAAAAACAAAAAAACAAAACTATCACATATTTAATCAAATATCACATTTTGCTTTATAAGAGTATTGATTAGACAAAAATCCCGGTAATCCTAGCAAAAAATGTCTATTAAAACAGTAATATATACGTCTCTGTTTAAACTAAGGTTTATTTCAACTGGGGTCCCTACTTTAGTGACGGAATAACAGTTTGCTCAGAGACGTATATATTACGAAATATATACATCTCTTGTTTGCTAAAGTATAGCATCATATACAAACGATAATGCCACCTGTATAAAACATTCCTTTTGTGCATTTTCTTATAAAACAAAAATATTTATTGATTTTTTTAAAAAATAATTCCTTAATACATCTATTCAAAGGGACGCAAACAATATACTATATTACCTCCCTTACACTGACTCTTCTTACCGCGTACTTTAGCGTTTCCGCCATTGTTTAATAGCAGGTGCCCCTGCATCAATTTTTTAATCCACTGCATCGGCCGTCATTTAAAGCAGCCAAAATGGTAAGTTTGAATTTCATGCATTCATTTTTATTTTAACTTTGTTATACATGTGTCATTTTTGTATATTAATATACACTGAATGTAAACAAAGTGGATGCCGGGTCGCGTTTGTAAACAAACCTAAGCAAGCGACGTTTCATATACGTTCTGCAAGTTAGCGACATAATGAGAATGAAAGTTTATATTTGATTCGTTTTTCTGTGTCTTCTTGTCATTATTCCACATGGTTCTTTCCCACATAGAACAGTTAAAGATGAGTTTGCAAATAAAGCAATTCTACTAAAACACGGATTGATATTAATTGATATGTATCGCTTTATATTGTATTAAGAAAATCATGTATTTCTGCGAAGTAACACAGTGTTAGAAATTATGGTAATTTGCATTTTCCTAGACGGTGGGTAGGAGTTCGAAGATGCTGCAGCACATCAACTACAGGATGCGATGCACCCTGCAGGATAGCCGCACATTTATTGGAACATTCAAAGCATTTGACAAACACATGAATCTCATCCTCGGAGATTGCGACGAGTTCAGGAAAGTAAAGCCAAAGAGCAGTAAAAGTGGTGAGAAGGAGGAGAAGAGGGTTCTAGGTCTGGTGTTACTGCGAGGGGAACACCTGGTCTCCATGACTGTAGAGGGACCACCTCCAGCTGAGGTACAGAAGTTTGTTTGTTCAGATAAAAAAGTATAATAAACAGTATGTAAAAAACAAATTTCGTTGCTGCCCCACATGCCACTGGGCGTAATGGGCAGTAAGTAAGTAAAAAACAAATTAAGGAAAAGGGTATGCAACAACAAAACATTCAGACGATTATGTATCTTGCACCCTAAAATCAATATTCTTAATTTCTTATATTTGACCTATACATTTTCTGTCTCTATTTAATGACAGGTTGGGCACAATTTTGAAAGAATGACACTGTTTTTTGTTTAACACTTTTTGACATGTTATCTTTAGTTATTTAATGATAGTTTTTTGCATGTGCATATCATTTAAAAAATATTTATGAGTCCCATTGTCCTGTAATTAATTCTTACAGGATGGTTCTCCAAAATTGTAAATGAGTCCAGGATTTCCGAGTACATCGTGATTAAATAATCATGTCATCTATTAATTTATCAAGTAGCAAAGGCATTTGTTGAAAAAAAAAAATCAGACACAATATATACTGTTTGTATGCTATGTTAAATTTGTATAGAATTGATATTGATATGGTAAAAATAATCCATTGAATATCTTATACAGGAAGGTATTGCTCGAGTGCCCCTCTCTGGTGCTGGACCAGGCGCTGGTATTGGTCGGGCAGCAGGACGTGGAATGGGTGGAGGACCTCACCAGGGTCTACAGGGTCCAGTCAGAGGCGTTGGCGGGCCTGGCTCACAGATGATGAACCCTAACCGCAGCACAATGTCTGCACCACCACAAATGAGAGGTCGGTTGAATAAACTTAACATTATCAGGGATCACTCTGGGCCACAACATTTACCCTGCTTTTTCAAAAAATATTGCACTGAATTTCTCTAAATGGGATTGAATGTCTGTCTTTGAATTGCATATTTTCTGGGTTTACACAATTTAAACATTAAAACTAATGATATCGTTGCTCATGCGAATTCAAAGTGGAAGTACAGTAAGTCAAGTGAAGTGTTAGGATGATCCAGACTTCAATATGCCTAACGTAGAATAAATAGATTTAGGACAGTATTCTGACAATTTAAGCTAAATATATCCTACAAATTCTTGAATGAAACAGCAATCTAAGCCCTGAAGGGGTGGCACAATACTAAATCGAGAGTTATTTTTAAGAAATAGATGTAGCCATGGAAAATTAAAAAAATCTAGTCAAATGTGGTTTGTGATTTTGTTAATATTTTGTATCCTTTCAGATTTTAGAGTTTTAAAACATTTAATGTTGTGTAGCCAGACATCCTTAAGGCATTTTCTGATTGGTTAAAACATAATATGCAGAAAAAATGGAGACTAAAATGCAAAGAAAATATAGGAATAAATTTATCCAAAACGTACATGTTCAAACAAAATTTTTGGCGCTCACTGTTTCGTTTCGCTTGAAAATTCAAAATATCCCCCTCTCATGAAATTCATGGGAGAAAAAATCCAGGTGGAGCACTGCATCATGTATTTCAGAGTTGAACAGTTTATGAATAAACGTTAAAATTGATAGCAAAACATCAGGTTCATGCAAGTATTACACAGGATTGAAACTGCAGCATTATTATTCTTTCAGAGATTTGCCACTTTTGATTAAAACATTGTCAAAATATATCTAAGTAAGAAGAAAAAAGGAAAAAAATCACATCCATCAAGTCCCTGTGAAATGCACACAAGACACCAAAGTACCATAACTTTCTGTAGCTCATGTACAGCAAAAGAACATTAGCTAATAATTTTATTGTTTGTAATTAATAAACTGTAATACCTGATCATGGAAAGGCTGAAAATCCATCCTAAACCCTTGTGAAAAAACTGTCAAAGGACATCTCCTATGCTAAGTGGTGGGTTTTCACCAGCATCCCATAAAACTATCCTTAGATGGTGAGGATCAGCATCTTGATTCAACCCATCCAACCCTTTTACATAAAAAGTACTCCACCTGTTTGAAAACAGTTTGCAAAAACCAGTATTGCATATAATTTGATTATTCTGTCCCCAGGTCCCCCAGGGCGAGGGGGTCCACCACCAGGCATGATGGGTATGCGAGGACCACCGATGGGAGGACGAGGTGGGCCAGGTATGAGAGGACCACCTCCTGGTATGATGAGGGGTAAGTAAATCATGATGACCGTATTTTAGCTTTTGTTATAATAACATATTTAGTACCTAGTGGTTAGATTAGTCATTTTCTGATTAATTAATTATAAATGATTGTGTTTGTAACAAATCTTGCAAATAAACAACTAATATTTAGGCAGTAATTTTTTCTGTCTTTTTTTTTACTGGGGCCTGTGCCTTGTCACTTTGGGAACACATCACAGAAAACATGACTTGAGGAAAATAAAGTGATTTCTGCAATTATTTTGAGAAAATACAGCTGAAATTATCTTTATAAGGTCCCAAATTCAGCTGGGAAAATATCACTGTTCGGATTTGCTCATCATTAACTTGGTTCATCAAGAATAACGGATAGCAGTCTTCTATAGAAAATAATGTTGAAGAAAAGGTCCTTATGTGCAATTATTTTTTCTTCAGGACCGCCCCCAGGAATGAGAAGGTAGAAGAGACAAGCAGATTGGGACGTATAACACATCCATGTCTTTCAATATTGTTTGTCATACAGAGACTGTGCAAGAACAAAGTTTGTGAAAAATCTAGATGTTATGTAAGATCTAACAGAATCATAGTGAACAGAGACAAATGACATTATCTGAACACGGTCATCGAGGAAGTTTGATCAACTGACGAGTGTTATCACATTTTGGGATCCAATATGTGATCCACAATCCATTGAAAGGATTATTTCCTTTTACATCTATCATTTGTATTGTAAGATATTCTAGGTGACCATTTCATGTGAGAGAGTGAGGGGAATTGTGTTGGAGAATGAAAGCTGATTGTGTGCGAGAGAGATGTTGACCACTTTTTCATTGACCAATGCAGTGGTCGGTTTCATTTTTTTAGATGGAGAGAAAGTTTGCTGTTTCATCAATTGTGGTCAAGTGAATAAATGAAAGAAATTAAATGAATTTGTTTTTTATTACTGTATATGTCATCATATGAAATCTGAAACTCAAGTACTGAAATGATGAAATGTTTCTGTACCTAAGTGAAGAAAAAAAAAGTTAGAAATTGTAGTAGAAAAATCCTGATTTACAACATTATTTCGTTTCTCACCGAGTCACCATCATAAATCATTCATTTTACAAACTGAAGTCCAACCCATGTTGAATGTTTCTAAGGACCAGCAACTTGATTCAATACAGGCAAATAATTAATGATTTACATAAGTTCCTAGATCAGAAGTGAAACCCTTACTATCCTTAAAAACAACTAACTGGATTTCCACAGAGGATGCAGGGGTGATAATTGGCCTATAGGTTACAGTTTATCAAATAGTAGTTGTTTTATTCCAGGATCAGGGGTGGGGGAACTATAGGTTTGCACTCTGTCCGTTTGTCTGGGACATATCTTATATAATATTTTGTCTGGAGTAGCTAGATTCGGTATACAAGGACATCTTGAGATGTAAGAAGGTCACCGAGGTGACCTTTGATCTTAACTTTTGAAAAAAATTGTCTGGCATATCTGGCTAGTGAGTACTATGTGTATATCAATAATTTGCATAGCTAGGGTTGCACTGACACGGTAACCATGTCGAATGATAGAAGCCAGGCTACCAACCATATTGTTCCCTTTATATGTATACAAGCGGTCAAAACCTTAGAAACACTTTATTTCACGGGGGAAACTAGAGTTAGTTTTGGGATAATTAGCAAGGCTAGAGTGTCACTGGCGCGATTACCATGCCGAATGAATATGCTACCCTCAGTTCTTCATTTGTTAGATACTTTGATTGCAACGAAGCCTTTTAGTTGGCGGTCTTTACAGCAGATACAAAACACCTGTCATTGCTTTTTAATATTTCATATCATATAGTCTATGTTGCGTTTATATTTTTATTTTATTTTGTCAAAAATGATGTGTAAACCCGGGCTTTTTTGCTACATAGGTTGTTACGCGCCTGAACACATAAATTATAATCAACATGCTAAATAAGAGACAACTGAAATTCATAAGAAAGCACTACGATAAATAAGGATAATGTAAAAGCAAAGCATTATGGCAGTGTCCAATAAGCACTAAGGCAGTGTCCAATAAGCACTAAGGCAGTGTCCAATAAGAACTAAGGCAGTGTCCAATAAGCACTAAGGCAGTGTCCAATAAGCACTAAGGCAGTGTCCAATAAGCACTATGGCAGTGTCCAATAAGCACTATGACAGTGTCCAATAAGCACTAAGCTGGAAATAAACATAAAAAGCTGCATAGTAATTTTAACACCGATCAAGAACAAGCACTGCATTTGCAGGACTCCCCTTCCCAACTGTTGATTAAATGCTAGAAAGAGGTCGCTGTGATCTAGGCTTTAGCTTGAACCTTAACATTTGAAAAAATTTGTCCAATACCTATCTTCTATATTTCACCTGGAAATAACGAGATTCGGTACGCAGGTTCATCTTGGAATAGAACATGAGAAGCAAGTCCATGTGAACTATGCTTAAGATATTTTCAACATGAACTGTAAGCTACAAAAAAAAAACGCCTGCAAATTGGTGTCGTAATACAAAACACGTTATCGAAGATTTTGTTACGATGGTCTTGTAAAACTTTGACCGATGCACTGTTTTTATTCACCTTTCCGGAATCACTTAGGACATACCAATAGAACTTCCTAATGTGTGGAAATCGATCGGTGTCTACTCAACATTTTAGTTAAATGGTAACCTGTACAAGAGTTGCTCCCCTTCCGTCGATAACCTAGTACAACCTGCAACCACCTACTGGAGCTACCAGCTTTAACGAGTTTAAACTGAAGTTTGAATGCGGTAAGTAATAGAGAATGCTATCTTGTGGTGTGATAGATGAATGAGGTTGCACTTTTAAGATGACCCGACAAAACCGGCACCCCAAGTAGTGTATGTATAACATAATCTATCTTCATAAATAATAATAATAATAATAATAATTTAATACAATATACTTTCTATGTGATGCTCGATATTTCCTATTTTTCATAACTATTCAGTGCAATCCTATATTCTCACCTTTTCCAATCTATCGGAATGCTAAGATTTTCCTAAAATCATCTCTACACACAGTGTTTAGTTACGAAGCCATTATGTGATATGTTGGTAAATTGTGAAAGGATGGAGCCTCGTTAGGATATTTGTAAATATTATCCTGATATTTACGTTAGAGTTAGCCCCCTTTACGAGTTCGAATGCAGGGCAGGAGTGGTCAATGAAAGTAGCAATATTTTTTGGTTTCAAAAGCTTTATCGATAAGATATGTTTGTGTCGTGTTTCATTTGTCACTTCAAAAGATGAAAAATAAGGTAGTGTATCGAAATGCAAGTCGAATCCCGGAGGAAATAAAATTGTCTAACACTACAATAAATATATGGAGGATCTTGCCGACAAAGTCGAGTCGATAACTCTCCAGATCACAGGTAATAGACACAACATACCCTATGCCTATATTCTAATATGTAATTACCTGTGCTCCAGATCGTACGCTTTCGGGCATAGACTGGAAAATCGCCCTTGGAATATAGAAACTTCCCCTTCGGGTCAAATATATCTTGTGACTTCTCGTGCAGCCTCGGGGCATAGATGTGTCTGTAACACGGGGCGGGCACGTGAAAAATTGATGTTGGGGAAATGTTGTCAACTGCCACACTTGGCTTCATCACAAAGATTCCACGTGTCTGGTAGTTACAAGAAATAATTACAAAAGTAAATCACTCAAACAATGTAGTGTTAAACTCGTTTAAAATATTCACTCATTACTTCGAGAGCGTTCATAAGTAGGGCTGTAACGATACACCTATGCCACGATACGATACGTATCACGATATCTACCCACGATACGATACATTTTGATACGATACAGAAATGTTATGCTTCCTCTTCAAATGTGTCGCCATGTTTGATGTGTTCCCTGACTTAAATCTACGAAACATATGCGGCAAGTGGAGAGTGATTTTCCATCGGGGACATTTAGCAGGAATCCAAAATGCTGCCAAACAGGCGAGCGAAAGGAAGCGGGAGTTTTTTTTAACCCTTAATGCTGCTACATTGATTTCTATGTAAAGGGGCACCACTGCTGAATTAATTATTGAAATATAAATTAATTTACTTGATTTTTCAAATATATGTGAATAAAAGTTATATGAAAATTGTTCGTTATTGTCTCTAGTTTACATTAACGTTTTCAATTCTAAAATTGCTTCAGTATTTACCTGTACAGGTTTTAATAAAGGTAAAAAAGGGTGAAACTTTTAATTAATCGGGATTTAAGCACCAAAAAGATAATTTTAAAATTATTTTTGTCAGCAAATGTGATTGGCAAATGATATCAGAGATTATAAACTTCATTTATGGCATAAGACGCTGTACATTTACACGGAGATTATCAGGTAAAAAGGCCAGGTATTTCATTAAGAATTGCATGTGATTTGCTACAGGTTTCAAGTCGTCATTCGATATATTTACTGTCACAGTCGATATATTTTAGCTACGGTTTAGTTTATGATTAAATCATCGATATATAGTTTGAAGAAAGCAATCGGCTCAAAACGTATCAATGTTAATGTTAATGTTCAATTCGGCCTCACCTGCAGACGACATGTGCGCCACGGTCCGCCGATATTAACCTGTTTGCGTAGGGCACAAAGCCGTTCATTGGAAAGTAACATATTATGTTACACCGAAGTTTTTCCACATTAACCATGTCAAACCCTTCAAAACCTTTATTATCATCGTAGGTGACGCTGGAGAATAAATATTTACATTGCACCTGTATGGTTAAATTCCGGAAGTCAGGTAATACTAAAAACCGAACCGAACCGAAACACGGAAAAAAAATACCGTGAACCGAACCGAAGCAATTTAGCCCGGTTTTCGGTGCACCGCGGTGTATCGTTACAGCCCTATTCATAAGTTCTTGTGTGTTTGTATAGCAGCACGTTTCTACAGCATCATGGATCGGTTTAAGGTAAAACCGGTAATTTTCAAGTAAATACACAGACAACAAACCGGAAAGTGTTTTGTACAGTGAAACCTTTCTAAACATTAACTGATTCGGAATGCCAGGATTGCGGACAAGAAGATGCTATGGGGCCAATGTAATGTCTGATAAAAAAAAAATATTACAGAGGGGTTGGTTTAGGCAAGTGTCTTCACAATTGGTTTATTCAGTGTTCGATTTAAGCAGTTCTCGCTGTGGGATGAGACAGACCTGCATTCTGTTAAACCCGACGTTATTTAGAAAACAAGCGTTTGATTGTGCACCAACACTGTGTATGAGATGAAATATTTATGCAGGAATTTTGTTATATAGATTATTTATTATATGCAAAGACATACATATTCTAAATATTGTGTATCAGACTTTGACTGATATATATATATATGATATAGTTTCCAACGTGTAAATTGTATGTAGATAAAATATATCGGAGAAGTTGAAAGGTCAAATACCAGTCCTCTCCGTTATCCCCACTTCCACTTTTTCTATCTAAATTGAGTTTGATATTAGCGCACGACGGCGCCTCTCGCAGCATCTGTTCCGTTGCTATGGAGAAGCGCCTCGGGCGCATCATTTTCCTACCACGCCACTGTTTGTTACCGAGTAGAGGCCGACAGCGAGCTCCGATCTCGCGCTAAATAGAAACATGGCCCCAGGGTACGTACCCGGGAGTTAAAACCCACTGTAAGGCTGTCTAAGCTCATTTACGTAGGGAAAGCCAGTGAGAGGTGGTAAAACTGTCCTTGTTCTCAAATAAACAGCCTGTGTCGCCGGGAGATTATACGTGTTAATTCAGGTATGTACCTCTTTATAGGCGATATATAGACATCATTTTTACATAACGTTCTATTCTACTGTTGTTCTAGTCTGTAAAAGAGGAAGGCACGTTCTGTGTCAATCCGTCGTACATATATATACGTTAGCTGAAGTCATGGTTGGTTGATTTTTTAGTACCTTTGTGTGTGATTGGCTGTACAGGTATATTCCGTATAAACTTGTAACCCTGTTACACGATTAGTGCCAAAAACTGTAGCATGTTTGCTCGTTTGTGGCTTTTATAACAGATTAATATATGACTCGATATCTGTAGCTATGTGACAATCTATATGGATAAGGCTGTACATTAAGGACGGCCAGTAACCTTTTTATGTTCGACAATGGATAGAATGTTCAGCTTACCCGGGACACCTGTGCCCTCGGGGAAGCTTAATTACTGCATTAGGTATTTGTCACCTTCATTGTGCTACTTTCGGTACTGAACTACTAGCCTCGACGCGACAGTGAACAGCCACTGGTGTTGAAGTTTGATGCACGTGGTTACATCAACATCACGTGGTACAATTTACACGTGCAACCATTCTAACGAGCAATACAATATAGGTGTTGACTATTTTAGTACAAATTATTTCAATCACATTTAGTCCGAAATAACTATCACCTTCGTTATTTCTAACTATTTACATATGTCTATCGTGTTTGGTGTACTGTGGAGATATTTTTACTCCTGATGTATAAGAATTTACCGGTAATACTCTGTGTATTAAAATCGTTCAATAATGTTTTGCAACTTGCAATACCATACGAATTTTACCAGGGCTGCACCCAAGTATAAGCAATATAATATGCAAGTATTTGGAGGTCGTTTTAAAAGTTAAATTAAGCTCAGAATCAAACTCGGTCCGTGCTTAAAAGCGGATATCACGTTTTGAAAGTAAGAACCAACCAACCTTAAAAACACGAATCGCTGATATACGGTAAGTGACGAAATTCGTATTTTTACAAATGGACATTGAGTCACTATAGGCGTATTTAGCTTTGGCCAGGATACAATCCTATATCCTAGGATGTAACGTTCTACGGCTAACAACCGGTATTGTTACATCGGTATAAAGTATTACTCTAGACCTCGTTGCTGACAGGGGATCGAGGTAACTCCGCCGTCTTATCAGTGCATGTCCATTTCATGAAAATATGGACATAATTAAACAAGATTCTACTGTTTAATTTAAAAAAATATATGTTTGAAAGAAAAAAAATCCGCCGAGGTGTCATTATACTTTTTTGATATATGAAAGGTCCACATAGAAATACTCGCTATTGCGTAGTGGTTGCAGTTGTACAGTTGACATATTTACACTAACGGTAATGGAGAATGCAACAAAATGAAACTCTGAATAACAAACTTGTCTTGAGCCATCATTTGATCAAACGATTAGAATGTAGACTACAAGTAATGGCCAACCTGTATTTTGCTTTATTTAAGTGTTTTGAAAACCACGCCATATCCGTAATCTCCGTATTTTCATTAGCCACTCATTTAAAGAGTGATAAAATTAATTCGTTAAAATAAACCAACATAGGCGGAAGCGCATAATTATCTCGGTTTCCATGGTTACGGTAAAGTCTTTGACTGTGCAAACGGTTACGACGCTCGGTGGGTGCAGATTATTTTATTGTGATTTATAATACTTATCTAACAAATATGAATATCCACAAACGCAGTCTCTTACTGCTGAAATAGCGCTTGATTACTTATGTGCATTTTTTTTAGGTCACCTGAGCTTTAGCTCAAGTGACCTATTGCTATTCGTCGTCGTCCGTTGACATTTTACATTTTCAACTTAAGCTGAAATACTGGCAAAGGGATTTCAGTAATATTTCATGGGAAGGTTACTGACATCTCCTTGACCAAGTGTCGTTATTTTTCGGGTCCATCAGAAATCCAATATGGCCGCCACGGCCGCCATTTTGAAAAACTATTTCAAACTTAAAGTCAAGTTCTACTGGGCCGATTGAACTGAAACTTTGTAGGAATGATCGACTAATGGTCCTGACAAAGTGCTGTTATTTTTCGGGTCGATCAGAAATCCAATATGGCCGATACGGCCGCCATTTTGAAAAAAACTATTTCAAACTTAAAAACAAGTTCTAATAGGCCGATTTAACTGAAACTCAGTCTAGAAATGATCAGCCCATGGATCTGACAAACTTAAGTTAATGGTATGCTTAACTATTTTGTACTCAAATTGGTACATATTTCAACAACAAAAATAAATACTGTAGAACTCAGGTGACCGTTCGGCCCATGGGCCTCTTGTTTTATTCTCCGACAACTATAAATGTAAAATTGACGCTTAATTCCGACTGAAAAGAAACTTGTAGGACTACAATATAGACCAAATGTCTAGGTCTGGTTCCGAAATGTATATAACAAAAGAGTATGCACGTATATTATTGGGACACGAGATACTCGATTGGTAGGCATGGGACACATGTTTCAAATATTATCATGTTCGAAAACTATACACTTGTATCTCCACTCAAAATCCCCAGCACTAAGTCGTAAATACAAATACAGGGGGAACGATATGACCATGGATTATCCCTCGGTCATGTCGATAGTAACGAATGTCGCGACCGTAATATTTGTCAAATGTCAACCAAAATGAGAATAAGACGTCTTCGTTGCAGGTTTTTGTTAACTGATCTTTTCCTTAATGGTACTATTTCTTACAAGACAATCATGTTTGCAACTGAATTCATGCATACTATTTCATAGTGTCGTGGTACCAGCAAGAAATAGCCGGATGCAGATAAAAAATCAATTCTAAATGAAAACCAGGTTTACACAGCACTATCAGTGCCTGAGTAAGGATTCAGTTGTGGCTCCCCTATGTTGTTTTAGTTATTTGGAAAAAGAACGGCTTAAATTATTTGGATGTTTTATTTTATGTTAAGAAGGGGAAATTTTGGGTTATTTAGTTTACTCACGGAATTAGATTGGATCTAAGTCCGTGGTTTACTGATATCTTTTACCTGTCGTCATCAATATATTTTCAAAAATCTGGTTTTCACAATTTCTTACAAATTGTTTAAATTGGTGTTTTTTTAGTTATAAACAAAAAAACACGTTTTCTTAATGATATCAACATAATGAACGTTTATGGGCCATGTTTTAATTAACCTATCCCATTTAAAAATAATTGCTGAATATATTTATATTAATATTAAACAATGAATGCAATAAGTCACCAATTTTCGCCGCAGGTCTGGTCTTCAAATAATTGTTATTTCTTCGACCGATTAATTTGTCCCTCTTAGAAGAAACTGGGGCAGAGTTTTTTGGAAGCTATATTAGTTATTACATCAGTAAATCGCCAGTGTATGGTAACCGGCCGAGTCCCCTTGTGCACTACTGCTGTGCAAGCAGCTTTTTTAATTACCTTGAGAGTTTTATCAAGCTGTTGTATACCATTAAATAAGTAAGTTTTTTTTAAATGTATGAATCGTGTGTATCGTTTGGTAGTTATTAATTGTATATAACCAAAGGGTATGACCGTGTACTGGCTTAGTCTGCCTCTAGCGGAACACTGTTTCTCATTAACAATAAATAACCCCCTCCGGCAACCCGCAGGTGGTTCTGAAATGTCGCCATATTACATTGCCTTTGGGCATGACCGGAACTTCGATATAACTGGCGGCAGGCTTAATTCTCTTTAGTGTTGAACCTTGTAATTACCCGCGGGGGTAGATACGGGGCTGTGTAGCTTTCATCAAGTACAACAACACAAAGGACTCGGCTTGTACGTTTGGTTCGTTTAGGTGTCCCGATGCATTGTTGTAGTAGAGTTTTGTGTGGATATTGTACGATGTAAACATATGTAGTCGTCACTCAGGTGTCATTTCACGTCAATAGGTGTTAATTTGTTCCATTGTAGGACAGCGACAGTTAATCTGAAGGTCAAAGCTCAACTTGTAGACCATTTTTAACAAACATCTCCATGTAACGAGACAGTACTGACGATTATTGAACCGGGAAAGGAGGTACTGTACTTTCTGGAAGACTGGAAGACCTTTAAGAACATCAACTCTGGACATTGGAAACTATTAACGATTGGACAATGTCCTCTCCTCACACACCGGTCGCCTCCCCACCAATATCACAGAATGGTCACTCGTTTTCCAAAATCTCCGGAGTGCCCTGCCCAGCGACACCAACCCGCTACACGGCACCTGTCCATATCGACGTAGGCGGAGTCATATATACGTCATCGTTGGAGACGCTTACTAAGTAAGTATACAATGCCTTTCTTTTTCTTTATTTCTTTTTCTCTAAACTCCAAACCATAATTGTAACAAAATCTTCGACTTTATACTATAAAGAAATTTGAACAGTTGAGACATAGAGGTTCCTCAATGGATAATGGTTAGCTATCATGTTTATCATTAGTTAATTTTAACAGTGTGCATAAGACTCGTGGTTTGCCGAATGTCTTTCAATTCAAATTTGATAACTTACTAATGACAATTCGGTGAATACAATAATTAACCATCACGATTTGATAGTCTTTTTTTCTGTCACAACACCCATTTAATGTCCAGAAGTTCCCTATCTTGGAAACAATTACCATGATACATGACGTCACAATGAAAGATGACTATGCAAAGCATTGTTTACTGACGTTATAATTGAAAGATTGATCAATGAAATCACGCCCATGGTGATACCAACTAATGGATTGGGTGGTCGGGTGTCGCATTCGATAGCGCACTTGCCTTTAACCAAGGCGGTCGAGGTCCGATTCCCCGATCGGACGTGAAAAGGTATGGGGTCATCTGCCTACACACTGGGGTTTACTCCGGGTGCTCCATTTTCCTCCAACAGAAAGTACCCCGCGCAACCGGACCAATACGAGTGATTAGTGATCAATATAAGTTTAAATAAAATGCTTCGTAACTGTTGTAAAATAAATAAAGTTTATATTAATTTCTTCTATGATACCATAACCCTAAACATGTTAACTAACTCATATAGCAGGTTTATCCAATGAGTCGAGAGTGTAATAATACTATACTAATATATTGATGAACAGTATCCGTTTATACATGTAGTGTATAGATAAACTACACGTATAGACTTACACTACACGTATAGACTTACACTACACATATAGACATACACTACACATAAAGACATACTCTACACATATATGCATACACTACACGTATAGACATACACTACACGTTTATACATACACTACACGTATAGACATACACTACACATATAGACATACACTACACGTATACACTTACAATACACGTTTATACATACACTACACGTATAGACATACACTACACATATAGACATACACTACACGTATACACTTACAATACACATATAGATATACACTACACGTATAGACTTACACTACACGTTTATACATACACTACACGTATAGACATACACTACACATATAGACATACACTACACGTATACACTTACA